AAGGAAAGATCCTTGAACTCACGGATCTGGAAAGCGCCATAAGGTAAAACAACATCAGGACACTAAAGATATATCACAGGACACACTCTACAAATGAGGGGAAAGCTTATGAAAAAAGACTTAGTGGCCTGGCGCGGTGGCTCACACCTGTAATCCCAATACTTTGGGAGGCCGAGGCGGGCAGATTGCCTGAGGTCAGGAGTTCCAGACCAGCCTGGTCAACATGATGAAACCCCTTCTCTACTAAAAATACAAAAATTAGCCAGGCGCGGTGGCGGGCGCCTGTAATCCCAGCTACTTGGGAGGCTGAGACAGGAGAATCGCATGAACCCAGGAGGAGGAGGTTGTACTGAGCCAAGATCACACCACTGCACTCCAGCCTGGGCAAAAAGAATGAAACTCCATCTCAAAAAAAAGAAAGGGGCCGGGCACAGTGGCTCACGCCTGTAATCCCAGCACTTTGGGAGGCCGAGACGGGCGGATCACAAGGTCAGGAGATTGAGACCATCCTGGCTAACACGGTGAAACCCCGTCTCTACTAAAAATACAAAAAAAAAAATTAGCTGGGTGTGGTGGCGGGCGCCTGTGGTCCCAGCTACACAGGAGGCTGAGGCAGAAGAATGGCGTGAACCGGGGGGCGTAGCTTGCAGTGAGCAGAGATCCAGCCACTGCACTCCAGCCTGGGTGACAGAGCGAGACTCCATCTCAAAAAAAAAAAAAAAGAAAGGAAAGAAACAAAAAGAAAAGAAAAAAAAGAGACTTAGTGGCATTTTCTCTGAGCCTTGAAGAATGAGTAGAATTTCAGCAAGTTGAGGTGGAGGTGAGGGAGGGCACTGGACGCAGAGAGAACAGCCTGAGCAAAGGCCAGGAGGCGGAAAGTTCAGGGTGGGTTCAGGGAAGAAGGAGTGTCCAGTTTCTTTCTAAGTCAACAGCTCAAGGGCTTTTTGTAAGCGGACTGCCCAAGCGGAGCAGCCTCCAGTAAACACCTGTTTGCACAATCGAGGTCACACACAGGGGCGCGTTTGCACAATGACCTGTTTGCACAATCTTAGCCGCCTGCTGTATTCCAGCCAACCCTGGCCCTGGCAACTGAGCACCATAGCCTCAACTTCCGGGCACTCACCCCAGCTTGCCTACCTGGCCCCCGCCCCGGCCCCTCTGGAACAAGCTGCTCCTTGACCTACCCAGAAGCCCCACACATCACAGGCAGTAACAGAAACAGAAACATCTCTGGCTCAGTAGCTAGGCTGCCGAGAATAGGGTTCCCTCATCAGCACTCCCTTACCGGGGGTTTCCAACACACAGAGGCCTTGTCTGATGGAGGAGGGGCGGGAGGCAGGACAGCTGGAGGAGGAAGTGTCCACAAAGCCGACACTGGGTGCGGGTAGAGGGGATGACTCCTCGTCTGTCTTGTGCTCTTCAATGCACCATAGTAAACACTTATTAAGCATTTACTGTGTGCCTAGCTGTGTTCCACAAACCTTACAGTCACTGATTTCTCTCAAGAATCCTACGAAGCCAATACTGTTAGCCCCATTTTACAGATGACAAAACCAAGGCTCAAAGAGATTAAACACTTGTTCGGAGTCACACAGGCAGCAAGTGGCAAAGCCAAGCAACCTGACTCCTCAGCTCATCATCTTAACCTCAGTACACCCTAAAGAAAGCTCTTCCTTAAATCTAACTTTCGTTTCCTTAAATCTAACTTTTATTCCAGCTGCTGCAGCTCCGTTTCCTGGTGCGGGTCCTCAACAGAGAATGGAGCACAAAGGAGATCAGTAGAACCTCCCTCCTAAATATTGAATTATGCAGAAGGGAAAAAAGGAAAGCAACTTTATTGAACACCTACTGTGCGCTGATTACCACACTAGGCATTGTATTTCTGATAGCTCATTTAATTATCACAAAATCCCTGGGAGGAGTTATTATCGTTGTGACAGATTAGGCAACAGAGGCTTGGAGAAGGTAAACACCATCTCCAAGGTTCTGCAGCCCAACAGATACGCATTGAGTATCCTTTGTGTGTCCAGCACTGTACTGAGGCTGGAGAGGCAGAGGTAAGAATACAGTTTCTACCCTCAAAGAGTTCACAGTATAATGGAGGAGGCAGGCGGCCAACAGCCTACCACAGTATTACAGGATTAATGGGGAGAAGGGCCCTTGATTCAGTTTGACTAAGGTGTGGAAGCCCAGAGGGGTGCTGAGCTCAGGCTGGATGCTCGAACTGGGTCAGGAACAGGACTCGGCCAGCGGGAGGTGACAGGCACTCCACAGAGGAAGGGCAGAGGGTCGTTCCAGAGCCTGGGGCAGGCAGGGAAATACTAGTGAATTTGGCATGACGGGCTGGATCTGAGGAAGCAGGGGCTGGTGAGGCAGGAGAGGGAGGCGAAGGTAACTTGCATGTCTGGTTGAGAAGTTAGGCTGCGATGACAGGCCTCTGAAGAAAGGCAGGGAAAGGAGAAGGATCACACGGCCATTGGCAAGGCTGAGATGGGAGCTCCATAAAGGCAGGAACTAAAACTGTGTCTCACCATTGTGTCACTGCACCTGCTCCAGGAGCAAGTTCTCTGAATGACAAACAAAAGGCCCATTCTTTCATTAAGAACTGACTGGGGCCAGGCGCGGTGGCTCATGCCTGTAATCCCAACACTTTGGGAGGCCGAGGCAGGCAGATCACTTGAGGTCAGGAGTTCGAGACCAGCCTGGCCAACATGGTGAAACCCCGTCTCTACTAAAAATACAAAAATTTAGTCGGGCATGGTGGTGCGTGCCTATAGTCCCAGCTACTCAGGAGGCTGAGGCAGGAGAATCACTTGAACCTGGGAAGCAGAGGTTGCAGTGAGCCGAGATCGTGCCACTGCACTCCATACTGGGTGACAGAGCGAGACTCCATCTCAAAAAAAACAAAAAACAAAAATAAAAAATAAATAAAAACTGACTGGAAGGCCAGGTACAGTGGCTCACGCCTGTAAAACCAGCACTTTGGGAGACTGAAGTGGGCAGATCACTTGAGGTCAGGAGTTCAAGACCAGCCTGGCCAACATGGCGAAACCCCATCTCTACTAAAACTATAAAAATTAGCCAGGCATGGTGGCAGGCACTTGTAATTCCAGCTACTTGGGAGGCTGAGGCATAAGAATCACTTGAACCTGGGAGGCAGAGGTTACAGTGAGCCAAAATCGTGCCACTACATTCCAGCCTCGGTGACAAAGCGAGACTCCGTCTCAAAAAAAAAAAAAAAAGAACTGACTAGACATGGGAAAGTGGAGAAGGGGTTGTAAGGAATGACTCCTGAGTCCCTGAGCTGCATGACTAGGGAGAGGAGGGGATGGTGGTTAATTCACCATGACAAGGTACGTGGGGATTAGAGACAGATTTGGTGAAGTGGGGGAAGATTCATCCAGTTGATCATTCATTCAACAAACACGCATGGAGGCCTTACTGTGTGGCAAGCAGTGTTCTAGACACTGGAGATAAAGTTTTGAACAAAACAGATAAAAAATGTTGCTCTTATGGAACTTTCAGTCTAGTGGGGATTGAGACAGCCAATATCAGATGGTGAAAGGGGATACGGGGGAGACAGAGATAGTGAGTGGGAGGGAAGGGGCTTGCAAATTTTGAAAAGGGTGCCCAGAGAAGGCCTCAATGAGAAAGGGACATTTAAGCAAAGACCTGAAGGGGAGGGACCAACCCATGTAGCTATTTGCAGGGGAAACAGTCCAGGCAAATGAAACAGCAAAGGCAAAGGCCCGGAGGCAAGAGATAGCATAACAAGTTCAAGAAGCAAAGAACACAGGGTAGCTGGAGCAAGGCAGCAAAGGGGAGAATAACAGGAGAGGGATCCAGGAGGTAATGGGGATACCAGGTTGTGTAGGGCCTTGTAGACCATTGAAAGGGCTTTGACTTTGACTCTGAATGAGACAGGAGCCATTGGAAAAGTTGGGACGAGGATGGCCTGATCAGACTTCTGTTTGATTGATATCGCACTGGCTGCTGAAGGAACTACAGACAGGTGAGGGAACGAGGATGAAATGGAAGCAGGAGAGCAGGGAGGGGGCTATTGCGATGATCTAGGCAAGAGATGAGGGTAGCTGGGAGCTAGCTAGTATTGGCTTCAGTTATATTTGTATTTTCCAATATATTATCATAAAAATATTTGAACGTAGAGCCAACTTGAACTTTACAGTGAATACCCAGGATTCTGGTTCTATTTTGAAAGAAGACAGTCCACGGGACTCACTGAGTGAGCAGAGCCTGTGGGGTATCTTGGGAGGGTTACAGTGGGCAGTCAGGTCATTTGACCTGGAACTAGAACTGCAGCCCTGGTCTGCAGCATCACACCAGACCCAGACGCCTAAAAATGATTATATGTTAAGGACAATCTGCTGGTCTGTTGGTACCTAATCTTTTTTGGGTTATGAATCCAATAAACTATGAGCAGTTTGAACCTTTCTCAGAAAATACAAGGAAAATTGTTTGTAGTTGCAGAGGAATCATGAATACAGACCAATAAAAGACATAAAATGTAGTCTATTTCACTCAATTACAAAATATTCAGTGTTGCAGAACCATTGTGGGTAAACATTACTAATTTTTAGTGAACATATGAGGACCCCGTGCCTCACCAAGACATCCTCCTGTCTTGCCCCCAGAATACCTGTTTCTCCATCTGCCTGGTCTATGGGCAATGTGCAGAATACGTAATGAAGAGGAGAGCAGTGAGTATTGGGTTATAAAATTCCCTGGAACCTGGAACACACCCTTCTGACTACTGTGAAGACGTGGGCCCCAAGGCTAGAGCTGAAAAGAGGCTTGGGGCCGGGTGAGCCTTCCAGGCAGGGTCTGCCTCCAAGTGATGCTCCCCCAGGCTGGGGGGCATAGGGATGGAACCCAGCCAGGTGGGAGCCTGGGCCCTGCCCAGCCTCAAAGCTTCGAGCTCAGGAAATCCGGAGGCAGGGGAGGGGGACATCGTTGCCACATTCCCCAGCCCTTTAAGACCCCCAAGGCAGGAAGGCTGCCCGGGCCTCACCAGCTTCCCTCACAGGCTCCTTCCTGGGAGGAAGGGGCTGCCTGTGCCCTCGAAGGCGCAAGGGAGGGTAGGAGGGAGGCTCGGAAGGTGTTGCAATCCCCAGCCCCCGGGCCTGTCAGAGGCCGAGCCATTAACGACAGAGCTCGGGGAGAGAAGCTGGACTGCAGCTGGTTTCAGGAACTTCTTTTGACGAGGAGAAGAGAGACCAAGGAGATCAAGCAGGGTCCGGGCCAGAGGCTCCAACGTGAGTAGGGGATCCCTACAGAGGGGCTGAGCCTTGGGCTTGATGGAGAGCTAGAATCCTGGGGCCACTCCCCGCAGCTCTGCCAAGTGTTCATGTCCGGGGTCCTAGGCCTGGGGCCAGGGATTCGTCCTTTGGAACCCCAGCCCTGGACAGTGAGTCTCTTTTCACAGGATGCCCCTACTTTGGGGGGTATTGCACCAGGGAAGTCACTCACAGCCAAGTAGCTCCTTGGGGACACTGAGCTGGGCTGGGGACAGACATAATCATTCTCCCCTCCCCATGCCTCTGCCTCTCAGGACGTGTGTGTCTGAGTTCCAGCCGCGCAACCCCTCCCCGTCTGGGTCTCTATTTCACTCTCTGTTTCCATCTTTCCTCCTCAGCTTCTCCCTGGCTTGTTATTTCTCTGAGTTTCTCTGTCTCGCATATTTCCTGCTATCTCTTGAATCTTAAACTCTTGGTAACAGACCGCCTCCTGGGCTCCAGGCCTCCGAGTGCCCCCCACTCTCTGGGTCAGTGTACATCGGGCCCTTTTTCTGTGTCTCTCGACGCCTCTCTGGCCTCAGTCATCCTCTTGGTGGGTCTCTGTCATTTTGGTCTGTGCGGATTTCAGTCACCTCCTCACTCTGCCACTCTTTGTATCTCTCTCTCTCTTTTTCTCTATCTGCAGCACATCTGGAAGGGCCTCTCCCCTCTGTTTATTCCCAGCCCCCTCCTCCCTCCCCACCCTTCCCACGGTGAGAGGAGAAACAGCAAGGGGGCCAGGGGTGTGAACTGGGGAAGAGAGTGTGAGGGGAGAGGGTTGAGTGTGATGAGGGAGAAACAGAAGGAGGGGATGTGAGAGCAGCCAGCCCAGGAGGCATTAAGGTGTGCTGAGCCACGGGAGCGAGCACTTGCAGGGCCCAGAGGAGATGGCCAGTGATGGGAGGGCCAGGGGGCCAGGGAGCTAGGAAGAGGGGATCCAGAAATGGGGCTTTGGAACTGTGCAGTGTGGCACAGACAAAAGCAAGGTGGCAGTCCTGGGAGGTGTGACCACGCAGGCTGTGAGGAAGGCAGGGGTGAGGCGAGAACTGAACTGTGCTGGATTCCATGAGCTGCTGACTCGTTTTACGGCTCGTGAAAAGAACCTACGGTTGCTGAGTGCCAACTCCATGCCAGGCACAGTGCTAAGTGCCTTTACCATAATCATCTCATTTCATCCTCACAACAACCCTGAGGAGTGAGTGCTAATGTTCTTTCTTTTCCACAGATGGGGAAACTGAGGCTTGGCTCGGAAAGGTGAAGTAACTTGTCCAAGGTCACAAAGCAGCTGGTAAGTGGCAGAGCTGGAGATCAAGTCAGGTGACCTGAGTCTGAGCTGGGCTCCAAAGCTCTCTGTATATCGGCCCCCCAGAGAGTGAGACTGAACAGGCCCTAGGCCCGCTCAACCAGGCTGGGGGATGTCTAGGGCTGCAGTGGAGGACCAGGGACTGAGGCCAAGCAGGGGGAGGATGCCGGGGCCTCTTGGGTTAGGTTGTCTACTCTGGACAGGAGCCAGTGGGGGTGGATATGGTGGTACTGCACGGGGCCCAGGCTAGGCCTGAAGCTGACCCTGGCTAGGGCAACAGGGCTGGGATATGATCAAAAGCACATAGAGATGAAAACCAGTGTCCCAAAATCTGGGCCTTGGAGGCTAAATCTTCCCCGACCAGTGTTGGGGGGGATGGATAATCAAACTGGTATGCTGTAGTAAGAAGGTTACCAACCACCAATGGGTAGACAGATGCTCGGGATAGCTGTGCAGGTTTCGCACTGCACAAAACTGAGGAGTAACTAGAGCCGAAATCCAGGCTGTTCCCTAGTTGCCAGGTCCTAGTGTGGTGCTGCATCCGTCCCGAGGATGGGGTGTTTTCTTTCTGATTTGCACAAAGGAGACTTACAGGCTAGCAGTCACTGGGTATTCTGATACTGCACTATACACGAATAGACTGGGGGTTTGGGTAAGGCCCCTGAGAGCAAGAACAGCCTTGGTTATCTGGGCAGTTCTTATCCACACCTCTCTCTGGGAGGGAGAGAAAAGGATTCTCCTACCTTTCTCCCTGCTGAGCACGAGGGACCTGCTGGGACACCACCTGCGTGTATGTGTCCAGATATGTACATGCAAGCTGACCAACAATTCCCACTGATCTGCCACCAAGAGCACCAACTCGTGCTGGAGGATCAGGTGTTGGCCCCAAGACCCCAATGGGAGCAGGGTGAACATGAGGCTGGATACCCACCCAAGTGGTAGAAACCTCTGCATACTTCCTAAGACTGGAGCCAAGGCACCCTCCATCCAGGTGCTATGGCCGCGACCATATGATGCCTGACCCCAGAAGGCCACCAGAGGTCTGTGCCCAGAAGTGGGGGCATACTGGACCCCTCGGGTGCCCCACTTGATATTCTCTCAGCCCACATGGCTGAGGCAGCCAGCTTCCTGCAGGTGTAACCTGACAGCCCCTTGCCTCAGCTGCTCCATAGAGCTCTCCCTTTCATCCAGGGAGTGTGCCTGACAACACTGGCATGGCTTCCCCAGGAGAACCTGCCTAGTACTCATGCATGCCCAACCTGGATGTGCCAGGGAGTGAACACCCCAAGAGGCATCCCTTGACCAATGGGGGGCAGGGGTCAGTGGGTAAATCTTCCCATCTTCCCTCCCATCCAAGGGATAAATTGACCCTCCGGTGGACAGCTCTGAGAAGTGTTCTACATGGCTCTTGGGAAGGTTCCAGCAGGACAGAGCCCCAGTTGTCCATAGAGGTGACCAACATATGATGTAACCTTGTGTTGGCTTTCTCTCTGTCCCTGTTTCATTCTCCCCACTTCATCCTCTCCTTATCTGCTGCTAGGATCTTCTCAAAATAAACCACCAGCATGCAATTCCTCATCTCAGGTTCTGCTGAGGGGAGCCCGGCTTAGATAGCTGGGAAGGGTGAAGAATGCTGTTCCTCACTGCTCCTTTCCCTGCTCTTTCCTGGAAGGCAAGTATAGTAACAGTGGCTGTCACTGTCATTTCCTATGTTCCAGGCGCAGTGCAAAGCCCTTGACTTGCATCATTTTGTGTCTTCCTCCCAAAGTCCCATGAAGTATAGGCTGCTGTTACTTCCATTTTGCAAAGAAACTAAGGCTCAGAGAAGTCAAGCAACCTAGTCAAAGCTGCACAGTGACAGACAAGGATTAAGATCAGCTCTGACTCCAAAGCCCATGGTCTTAAACAAACCTCCTGCCTCCAGGTGAACATCAAGTTGGCACTATGGCAAGGCTGAGAACCTGCAGCCTGACTTGGGCTGCCCTGATCATCCTGCTGCTCCCCGGAAGTGAGTATGGCCAAGGATAAGGGCGCAGTGGGGAGGGGAAGTTACAAGGAGAGATATTGGGAATTTTCTTGCACTGCCACATGGCTACTGGGATTCCCAGAGAATCCCAAAAGACTCAAGACTGAGCCACAGATATGGGGTAGCTGGCATCCCACCCACAGACTTCCACAGGCAAACCACCACCCAAGAGGAATGGTGAGATGACCCAGGCTGGTCATCCTGGAAAAGGCCAGTGGGGAGCAGATCTTGTCCACAAATCTCTACCAAGCGGTCAGAAGGAACCCATGGGTCCTATGTAGCCTTGGTGGGCAGCAAAGGGATCAGGACGGAAGCTACAAGGGGACAGGTTTCATCCTGAAATAAAGAAGCCCAGGCAGAGCTTAGTTACCAACTATGGAAACTCTGTCTTGAGAGGTAGAGAACTTCTCATCCCCAGGGGTATGCAAGCTGAAGCCAGGATTGACAAAGATGCTGTGCAGCAGGGGTTGGCAAACTTTGTCTGACAGTAATGTTTAGGCTTTGCAGGCCACATACTGTCTCTGTTCCTTGTTTGTTTGTTTGTTTTTGAGACAGGGTCTGCCTCTGTTGCCTAGGCTGGAGTGCAGTGGCACAATCACAGCTCACTGCAGCCTCAACCTCCTGGGCTCAAGTGATTCTCCTGCCTCAGCCTCCAAGGTAGTACAGGGCATGCCACCACCCAGCTAACTTTTTTTGTATTTTTTGTAGAGATGTAGTTTTGCCATGCTGGTCTCGAACTCCTGGGTTCCAGTAATCCACCTGCCCTGACCTCCCAAAGTATGGGGATTATAAGCATGAGCCGCCATGCCCTGCCTATTGCATGTTTTTGTTTTTTCAGGGTTTTTTTTGTTTGTTTTTTTGAGATGGAGTCTCACTCTGTTGCCCAGGCTGAAGTACAGTAGCGCAATCTCGGCTCACTGCAACCTCTGCCTGCCGGGTTCAAGCGATTCTCCTGCCTCAGCCTCCCGAATAGCTGGGATTACAGGCGCCTGCCACCAGGCCTGGCTTATTTTTGTATTTTTAGTAGAGACAGGGTTTCACCATGTTGGCCGGGCTGGTCTCAAACTCCTGACCTCAGGTGATCCGCCCACCTCGGCCTCCCAAAGTGCTGGGATTACAGGCGTAAGCCACGGCACCCAGGCCTTTTGCATGTTTTTATTTGGTTTTTGTTTTGTTTGTTTTTAACTCTTTAAAAATGTAAGGAACATTCTTAGTTGTTAGGCCATACAAAACTAGGCCACTCAAGCTCTGCTGTAGAGGGCAGAGCATCAGGTAGAGTTTTGAAGCAAACGACCTGGTAAAGTTCCTTCCAGCCTGAAATCCTGAGTCTGTGAAGCAGTAGAAGCCCTTTGCGAGAATCATGAACTTGCTCTGTGACCCTGGGCAAACTGCTTCTCCTCTTAGGGTCTTCGCATCCCCATCAGTAAAACGGGCCTAAGAAAACCTGAGAGAGGACAGAAAGCATTGCAGGCAAAGTGTATGTTTATTTGTTCGTTTATTTATCAAAAAAATATTCATCGACCGGGTGCGGTGGCTCACGCCTGTAATTCCAGCACTTTGGGAGGCTGAGGCGGGTGGATCACGAGGTCATGAGATCGAGACCAGCCTGGCCAGCATGGTGAAACCCCGTCTCTACTAAAAATACAAAAAAAAAATTAGCCAGGCATGGTGGTGCGTGCCTGTAGCCCCAGCTACTCGGGAAGCTGAGGCAGGAGAATCGCTTGAACCCGGGAGGCAGAGGTTGCAGTGAGCTGAGATTGCGCCACTGAACTCCAGCCTGGGTGACAGAGCAAAACTCCATCTCAAGATAATAAATATTCACCAAGGTCCTACTCTGTACTAGGCACTGGGAATACAGTAATAAGCAAACAGCCAAGGTGTACTGGCCTCACCGAATTTATAGTCTAGCTGGAGTGACAGATAAGTAAATAATCATAAGACTCTATAATTATGAAGGATAAAAAGAGCTTTGAGGAAGCATAGGGACCTTGGCCTCCTCCAGTTCGTTAGTGCCTGGCCTGGTTTCTTCAAGATGCCTAAGCGTTAACCAGGTGAAACAGGGGTGGGAGAGAGAAAGAAGAGTCCCTCCAAAAAGAACAGCAGGCTGGGCACAGAGGCTCACATCTGTAGTCCCAGCACTTTGGGAGGCTGAGGCAGGAGGCCTGCTTAAGCCCAGGAGTTCAAGATTAGCCTGGCCAACATAGTGAAACCTCATCTCTACACACACACACACAAAATCAAAAAATTAGCAAGGTATGCTGGCATGAACCTGTAGTCCCAGCTACTCAGGAGGCTGAGGTGGGAGAATCACTTGAGCCTAGGAGGTCAAGGGTGCAGTGAGCCATGATCGTGCCACTTCACTCCAGCCTGAGTGACAGAGCAAGACCTTGAAGAAAAAAAAGAAAAAGAAAACCAAAACAAAACAACAACAACAACAAAAAAAAAAAAAACAGCAGGTGCAAAGATCCAGAGATTAGAAAGATTATGGAGTTTTCAAAGAATAGCAAGAATGAGCCAGAATGGCTGGAGCTGAGAAACCGGTATAAGCTGGAACTGAGAGGGTCAGGCAGGGGCCAGGCCACAAGAGCTATGTCAAGGATTTGAGTCTATCCTAATGATGGCAGCACATACTCACATGCCAGACACTGCTCTAAATGCCTTCCATATGTTATCGCATGTAATCCTTCTAGCAACACTAAGGTAGGAACGATTTTTATCCCCATTTTACAGACGAGAAAACTGAGGCACAGAAAATCTCAGAAATATACCAGGATCATGTAATTAATAAGCAATAGAACCAGAATTTAAACCGAGGCAGTCTAGTCCCAACATCCACACTCATCCATCACACCATACTGCCTTTCAGAGCAATAATGTGCCATTGAAGTGCTGCGATGGAGATGGGGTAGCAGAATCAGATTTCAATTGTGAAAAGATTGCTGTGGTTATGGGTTCTTATCACTCTAATCACTGCTTGCACCATCCTTGGGGAGGGCATTGGGGAGTTAACAGTCTCCATCTGGTGGTGTGCTGGTGCTGGCTTGCCAACACTAATTGGGAACATCTCTTCCCAACTCCCCGATCAATGATGTCACTTCAGTAGGCTGAAATCAGCTACGGTGAGAATATTTACACCACGGAAAGGCACACGCTACAAACCAGGGTCTGCTTTTCTCTGCCAAGCTGGCTGATAAACAGTTAGCAGCACATCACTATCTCTGTCTTACCTCCGTAGCCTCTCGAAGTCTCCGTTCACATCCTTCTATTTCCAGCCCCCATGTCTTGAAGGGTGAGAAAGGAAGGTGAGGGCCCTGAGTCTAGGAGTACAAAGGCCTAGATTATAGCCCAGCTCTGCTAGGCAGAGGAGTCGTTCCTGGCCCATTCTCTTCCACCCCAGGTCTGGAGGAGTGCGGGCACATCAGTGTCTCAGCCCCCATCGTCCACCTGGGGGATCCCATCACAGCCTCCTGCATCATCAAGCAGAACTGCAGCCATCTGGACCTGGAGCCACAGATTCTGTGGAGACTGGGAGCAGAGCTTCAGCCCGGGGGCAGGCAGCAGCGTCTCTCTGATGGGAGCCAGCAATCTACCATCACCCTGCCCCACCTCAACCACACTCGGGCCTTTCTCTCCTGCTGCCTGAACTGGGGCAACAGCCTGCAGATCCTGGACCAGGTTGAGCTGCGCGCAGGCTGTAAGTCCCTCCAGCCATCCAACTACTCTGCCTCCAACACCCTCCTGCCAATACTAATAAGAATATTATCAGCCGGGCGCGGTGGCTCACGCCTGTAATTCCAGCACTTTGGAAGGCCAAGGCGGGCGGATCACCTGAGGTCAGGAGTTCGTGACCAGCCTGGCCAACATGGCGAAACCCTGTCTCCACTAAAAATACAAAAAATTAGCTGGGCGTGGTGGCAGGCGCCTGTAATCCCAGCTACTCGGGAGGCTGAGGCAGGAGAATTGCTCGAACCCAGAAAGCGGAGGTTGCAATGAGCCGAGATCACGCCACTGCACTCCAGCCTGGGCAACAAAAGCGAAAATTGGTCTCAAAAAACAAAAGAATACTACCTATTGAGCTCTTATCTAATAAGCACTTTATGGGCATGGTATCAGGTAACAGTAGTACAAGTTGGTACTACTGTGTAGCCTCACTTTGCAGATGAGGAAACTGAGGGTCAGGGAAGGTACATGACTTGCCCTTGTCACACATTAATAAGGATGGAGGCAGTGTGGCTTTAAAGCCAGTGTGGTGACCACTACTCTACATAGCGCAAGTCCTCAGCCATCAGAGGGTGTCTCCAGGGAGAACATTCTCTATCAGCTGGGCTTGTCCCGGGCTTCTCCCCCACCCCAGTTTCAAACTTCCTTTCAAACTGAGCAAGATGGAGTTTGTGCCAAGTTGAGGCATAAGGAAAAAACAAAGACCAAGGTTCTTGTTTGAGAATCAGTAACGGGCCGGGCACAGTGGCTCACACCTGTAATCCCAGCACTTTGGGAGCCTGTGGTGGGTGGATCATTTGAGGTCAGGAGTTTGAGACCAGCCAGGCCAACGTGTAGAAACCCCGTCTCTATTAAAAATACAAAAATTAGCCAAGCGAGCCAAGATCGTGCCACTGCACTCCAGCCTGGGCCACAGAGTGAGACTCTGTCTCAAAAAAAAAAAAAAAAAAAAAGCATCAGTAATGGCCACTGCTAAAACTTATGTAGCATTTCCTGTATGTCAGGCACTGTTCTGAGCACTTCATGTAGAGTGAGTCATTTAGCCCTCATGATAACGCTAGGGGGTGGGATTTTACCATTATCCCCATTTTACAGATGAGGATGCTGAGGCACAGAGCAGTTAAATAACTTCAAGATCACAGGGCTAATGAATGGCAGGACCAGGATGAAAACCCAAACACTACACTGTCACTGACAAAGGGTCTGGAGTTGGGGGACTTGGAAGTGGGCCACCACTGGGCTGCTGGGGGTCTGTGAGGCTTGCCCCTGTGCATGCCTGCAACTTAGCTTCCCCCAGGGCTGCCCTTCCAGAGCCACTCTGCCTGGAGACGGGGGGCAGACAAGGTGACAACAGAGGAACCAAGCCAGGGCAAGGCAACACGGCTAGCTAGTCCCAGAGGGCGCTTTCTCAGTGGTCCCACCCAAAGTCCTCACACTCTTCCCACCCACATGCAGACCCTCCAGCTGTACCCCGCAACCTCTCCTGCCTCATGAACCTCACAACCAGCAGCCTCATCTGCCAGTGGGAGCCAGGACCTGAGACCCACCTACCCACCAGCTTCACTCTGAAGAGCTTCAAGTGAGGAGGGGCCCCCACCCTGGTCCCCTCCCTTTGGATTCTGGGGTAGGGCATGGGTAGGATGTTGGGCATGCCTCTGGGAGGGAGAAGGGAGCCTCGCTTTCTTCCTCTGCTTGGCACCCAAGCCTGGACTATTGGCAGGAGCCGGGGCAACTGTCAGACCCAAGGGGATTCCATCATGGACTGCGTGCCCGAAGACGGGCAGAGCCACTGCTCCATCCCACGCAGACACCTGCTGTTGTACCAGAATATGGGCATCTGGGTGCAGGCGGAGAATGCGCTGGGGACCAGCATGTCCCCACAACTGTGCCTTGAGCCCATGGACGTCGGTGGGTGATGCAGGGGAGGGAGGGGGTCCCCAAAATGGGCAGACACTGAGAGGAAGGGAGAGGGAAACACAGAACCAGCAACAGACAAGAAGACACTGGAAGACCTAGAGACAGAGGCAGAGGAGAGGGACGGAGACAAAGAGAGGTGCAGCTGGAGACAGAAATGGTGACACAGACCCAGAGACAGGAAGAGACACAGAGGCAAGGAGGCACATTCAGTCATGCTTTCAGCTAAAGCACCCACTACGTGTTAGGCACTGCCCTAGGTACTGGGGATACAAAGCATCAAAAATCCTGCCCTCAGAATGTTAGATTCCAGTGGGGGAAAAAATAAGATAGAATTTCAGATGGCAATAAGCAAAAAGGAGAAATTAAAGGAGGGGAAGGGCATAGAGAGAGAGGGGAAGGGGAGCACTGGCTATTTCAATAGGTTTGTCAATAAAGGCCTCACTAAGAGGGTGACAATTGAGCAGATCCTTGAAGGAAATGAGGGAGCAAGCCCTGGATATCTGGAGGGAAAACATTTCAAGCAGAAGTAACAATCAGTGCAAAGGCCCTGGGGCAAGAGCAGATAACAGACACCTAGAGAGAAACAAAGACACAGAAAGAGGAACCACAGAAACCGGCCATTAGCAACGTGGACAGATGGTGAACCGCAGACAGGGAGACAAGAGGGAGCTAAAGCAGAGCCCTCTAGGGTGGGGCAGGGAGACTTTCTGACAGTCCCACTCCTTGCAGTGAAACTGGAGCCCCCCATGCTGCGGACCATGGACCCCAGCCCTGAAGCGGCCCCTCCCCAGGCAGGCTGCCTACAGTTGTGCTGGGAGCCATGGCAGCCAGCCCTGCACATAAATCAGAAGTGTGAGCTGCGCCATAAGCCACAGAGTGGAGAAGCCAGCTGGGCACTGGTGAGGCAGAGGGCAACCTGGAGAGCCTGAGGTGGTGGGGACAGGGGGTAGGGTAAGTTGGGCTTGAGCTGGCCCTAGAATGACCCAGCGATCCAAGGCTCAGGGTCATGTCCACCCCCAACCAGGTGGGCCCCCTGCCGTTGGAGGCCCTTCGGTATGAGCTCTGTGGGCTCCTCCCAGCCACGGCCTACACCCTGCAGATACGCTGCATCCGCTGGCCTCTGCCTGGCCACTGGAGCAACTGGAGTCCCAGCCTGGAGCTGAGAACTACTGAACGGGGTAAGGAGGTGATGAGAGGCTGGCAGCAGCCATTAGTATCCAGTCCAGGTTCCACGGCCTTCCCCAACTGGCACCCCCTCTTCTTGTTCCATCCACAGCCCCCGCTGTCAGACTGAACACATGGTGGCGGCAGAGGCAGCTGGACCCCCGGACAGTGCAGCTGTTCTGGAAGGTGACTCCCTTTGAAGGCCATCCCTCCACCTCGACACCTCCTCCAATCCAAACAGGCCCCTGCAAACCGAGGCTTAGGACTGCAACAGGTCTGGGAGGCGTGGATGCATTTATATGTGATTTGCATGCAATTTGCATGTGCCTAGGGAGCTGAGTTAGCTTTTGGAGAGACCACAACGCAGGTCACAGGGTACTTCAGTGAATAGTTAAGAGCCTGCTGTGTGCACCGACTTGTTTCTTCCTGCCCTCTGGTTTCTTCCTGCCCTCCTTCCTAGAACCTAGCACAAGGGGACAGAGGGAAAAGGGGAGGGGGATGAGAAGCCTGGCCCCAGCCTGGGGAGGCTCCGTTCGTATGATCCATCCACCCCACCTAGAGGCTTTCCTCGACTCAAGATGAACTGCACATCCCCTTCTCTTTTTCCTCCTGTGCCCCACAGCCAGTGCCCCTGGAGGAAGACAGCGGACAGATCCAAGGTTATGTGGTTTCTTGGAGACCCTCAGGCCAGGCTGGGGCCATCCTGCCCCTCTGCAACACCACAGAGCTCAGCTGCACCTTCCCCCTGCCTTCAGAAGCCCAGGAGGTGGCCCTTGTGGCCTATAACTCAGCCGGGACCTCCTGTCCCACCCCAGTGGTCTTCTCAGAGAGCAGAGGTAAAGGGGGCTGGGGGCCAGAAGAACACAGAGGTCAAGCGCATCAATTCGAAGGCTAGACTGCCTGGGTTCAAATCTAGTCCCCTTAGCCGGGGGTGGTGGCTCACACCTATAATCCCAGCACTTTGGGAGGCCGAGGTGGGCAGATCATCTGAGGTCAGGAGTTCAAGACCAGCCTGGCCAACATGGTGAAACCCCCATCTCTACTAAAAATACAAAAATTAGCCAGGCATGGTGGCAGGCACCTGTAATCCCAGCTACTCGGGAGGCTGAGGCAGCAGAATTGCTTGAACCTGGGAGGCGGAGGCTGCAACAAGCTGAGATTGCACCATTGCACTCTAGCCTGGGCAACAGAGGGAGACTCCGTCTCAAAAAAAAAAAAAAAAATCTAGTCCTATCACTTGCTAACAGTGTGACCTGAGCAAGTTACATCCCGTCCCCAGCCTCTGTTTACACATCCAGCAGATGGCGACGATAACAGCGCCTACTGAGGGGTGCTGTGGGGTGTACATGAGTTAAGACAAGTACCTGGCACAAAGTAACTGCTCTGCATGTGTCCGCTGTTGTTATTATCATTAGCCAGAACCAGGTTAAGCTCACACACACAGCCCATTCTGCCAAGAAAGCCAAGAGAGAAAGCCCCAAGCTTTTCCACCTGGAACATGGTCTATGAGTTCATTGCTCATTCTCAGGAGATCAGCTGCCACCACCCATTGCTTTCCCTAAACATGGGTCCTCGCCAGGTGGGACGAATAATCACAATAACAATAATCATAGCTAATATTCCCACTTACTAGCTGTGTGATCTTAGATAAGTTTCTTAACCTCTCTCAGTTTTCTCATTAATAAAATGGGAACAAGAGTAGTACTTCCTGGGTATAACTATTAGAGGACTCAGTGAATTAAAATATATCAAGGAATCCAGTACAGTGGCTCATGCCTGTAATCCCAGCACTTTGGGAGGCTGAGGCAGGCAGATCACCTGAGGTCAGGAGGTCAAGACCAGCCTGGCCAACATAGTGAAACCCCATCTCTACTAAAAACACAAAAATTAGCCAGGCATGGTGGCGGTTGCCTATAATCTCAGCTACTTGGGAGGCTGAGGCAGTAGAATCACTTGAACCCGGGAGGCAGAGGTTGCAATGAGCCAAGATGGCGCCACTGCACTTCAGCTTGGGTGACAGAGCAAGTCTCCGCGTAAAAATAAAATAAAATAGAAAAGAATAAAGTAAGGTAAAGTAAAAAGTAAACTAAAATAAAATATATCAAGGACTACGCCTGATACATACCAAGAACCATAGAGTGTTAGCTATTATCACTAACAAGAACTACTCTGTGCCAGGCACTATGCCGGGCTTGTTTTGTGCATCAAGTCATTTAATCTGCACTGAGACCCTATGAGGTAGGAACTTTTATCATCATTTCCACTTTACAGATGAGGAAACTGAGGCTCAGATGTTGACCTACCAAAGGTCACCCAGCCTGTAAGTAGCAAAGCCAGGATTTGAACCCAGGCTTCTGGCTCCAGGGCCTGCATTCTTTTCACCTTCATTCCACCATTTCCCACCGTCTCCAGGCCCAGCCCTGACCAGACTCCATGCCATGGCCCGAGACCCTCACAGCCTCTGGGTGGGCTGGGAGCCCCCCAGTCCATGGCCTCGGGGCTATGTGATTGAGTGGGGCCTGAGCCCCCCCAGCACGAGCAATAGCAACAAGACCTGGAGGATGGAACAGAACGGGAGCGCCACGGGGTTTCTGCTGCAGGGTAAGGCTGGCCTGGAAAGTTGGGCAGGGCCAGGGACAAAGGGAGGCAGTGCTTGTCTGACAATAGGCATGGGGCAACCTGAACTGCCCAAGAGACATGGATTCTCCAGCCTTTCTTGATCCTTCACTGTTCTCATTTCATATCCTCATAATCAGGAAGTTCTCCTATAGTCCAACCTGATCCTTTTTCTATAGCCCTGACCCTGCCACCCTTCTAGCTCTCTCTTCTACTTTTCTTCCCTAATTTTCATCAAATGATCTAAAGAAGATTGGCGGAGGTTAACCCTGAATCATGAGCCCAGGTTAGCCCTGACTAGAGGTCTGAGGCTAGCTCCGGATCATTAGCACAGGTTAGCTCCTAACAGGAATGCCTACCTCATTTTCTTTCTACAGAGAACATCAGGCCCTTTCAGCTCTATGAGATCACTGTGACTCCCTTGTACCAGGACGCCATGGGACCCTCCCAGCATGTCTATGCCTACTCCCAAGAAATGGGTTCGTCAACCATCAGGCCCCTTTCCAGAATCCTCTCCTCTCTCTCCCAAGGCTCTGCCTGGTCCCCAGCAATCAGCAGTATAGGGAACATTGCCTTCTTACCATACTTCCGGCCCTGGAGAGCATCTCTCCCAATCCCCTGGCTTAACACTGGATCCCTACAGCTGGACAGAAATCAGGTGCTGTGATAGAAATTGAGTAGAGAGTTGGCACAATTCAAGGAGCAAACCTGGCAAAAATCAATCCATTTCCCAGACAAAAATAAGGTGTTATATGTAACAGAAATTGGACAGAGGGGCCGGATGCAGTGGCTCACACCTGTAATCCTAACACTCTGAGAGGCCAGGGCAGGCAGATCCCCTGAGCTCAAGAGTTTGAGACCAGCCTGGGCAACCTTGTCTCTACAGAAAAATAAATAAATAAATCAACCAGCCAATCAACCAAAAATTAGCTGGGTGCAGTGGTGTGTGCCTGTAACCCCAGCTACTTGAGAGGCTGAGGTGGGAGGATCGGATTGCTTGAGCCCAGGAGGTCGAGGCTGTAGTGAGCCAAGATGGCACCACTGTACTCCAGCCTGGGTGACAGAGCGAGACCCTGTCTCAAAAACAAAAGCAAAAGAAATTGGACAGAGGACCTGGCATAAATTCGGAGAGTGAGTGGCAGAAATCAGAGAGTAAATCAGATGAAATCAGGCCTGGTAGAAATCAGAAAGTGAGGCTCCAGAGTCAAGCAGAGCCAGGTTCAAATCCTGGCTTAGATACTTATTAGCAGTAGGTGGAATCTGGATTAAATCCCTGGGAAAATGAGGCTTGGGCATGAGTCCCCTTGGACTCTTTTCTCACCCACCCCACAGTGCCTGAGAAGCTACAAGAAGTCCAATCGGGCTCTTGCTCTGCCCCACTCCCTTCAGCCCCTGCACCTCTCTCTTCCCACAGCCCCCCGCCATGCCCCAGAGCTGCATCTAAAGCACATTGGCAAGACCTGGGCACAGCTGGAGTGGGTGCCTGAGCCCCCTGAGCTGGGGAAGAGCCCCCTTACCCACTACACCATCTTCTGGACCAATGCTCAAAACCAGTCGTTCTGTGAGTCTATCCTCAGTTCCCCACAGCCCCAGAAGGCCCGGGAGGGGGTGCTCAGCCGCCATGGAGGCAGCTTCAGCATCCAGGCCTACACTGACCGTACACCCCTCCCAGCCACCATCCTGAATGCCTCTTCCCGTGGCTTTGTCCTCCATGGCCTGGAGCCCGCCAGTCTGTATCACATTCACCTCATGGCTGCCAGCCAGGCCGGCGCCACCAATGGTACAGTCCTCACCCTGATGACCTTGATCCCAGGTAAGGGGAGACGAGGGCTGGGCAGAGATGGCTATTGGAAGGGTACCCCACCCAAAGGATGCTGATTTTGAGAGTAGATGGGGACTGACTTTGAATCCCCTGGTCGGAGGGAGGAGACCCAGCCTTCCCCACATGCATTCTAACTTCTTCTGGCCCTGCCCTCACTGCAGAGGGATCCGAGCTACACATCCTCCTGGGCCTGTTCGGCCTCCTGCTCTTGCTCTCCTGCCTCTGTGGAACTGCCTGGCTCTGCTGCAGCCCCAGGTGAGTCCCTTTGAGAGACCTGAGATCCTGCCTCCCCCACCCACAGGGAACCTCAGGTCCAGGTGGGCCCATCTAAGTCCCTTCCAACCTTCCCAAACTTTAGGGCCCATGTCTGAGAGTCCCAGCCCCCAGCTTCTTCTCTCTGCACTAAGGGCAGCTGCATCTCTTCAGGTGGGATGGGTGGGACAAAGGATGGAAAGATTGGAGGGTATGTCTGACCCAGCCTCCCCCTGCCCTCCTCTCCAGCAGGAAGAATCCCCTCTGGCCAAGTGTCCCAGACCCAGCTCACAGCAGCCTGGGCTCCTGGGTGCCCACTATCATGGAAGAGGTGAGAATCCAGGAGGGAGCGGGAAATGAGGTGGGGATGTCAGCCCAGGCTCAGTGAAGGGACACCTTCTGAAGCCAAGTACTCAGGCCTTCCTGTCACTTCCGGCAACACCCCCTCCCTTTGGCGTGAAGCAGACCCAAGTTTGAATCCCAGCTCTGTCCATCTCAAAGCCTCAGCCACCTCCCTGTGATATGGAAAAACTGACCATGCTGAGCCTGAACGGTGCATGGCATGTGTCAGGCATGTGTGAGGAACATACCAGTGCTTTGCAAGTGGAACCCTTTGTGTTCCAGCAGTAACAGCAGGAATGTCCCCACAACTGCCTGGACCTAGACAGGGACGGTGGCTGGGGCAGACATCTGAAAGGAGCCGTGCCCTCACCCCACATCCTTGTGTGCAGGAGGCCTTCCAGCTGCCTGGCCTGGGCATGCCACCCATCACCAAGCTCACAGTGCTGGAGGAGGACGAGAAGAAGCCACTGCCCTGGGAGTCCCATAACAGCTCAGAGACCTGTGGCCTCCCCACTCTGGTCCAGACCTATGTGCTCCAGGGGGACCTAAGAGCAGCTTCCGCCCAGCCCCAATCCCAGTCCGGCACCAGCAATCAGGTCCTCTACGGGCAGCTGCTGGGCAGCCCCACAAGCCCAGGGCCAGGGCACTATCTCCGCTGCGACTCCACTCAGCCCCTCTTGGCGGGCCTCACCCCCAGCCCCAAGTCCTATGAGAACCTCTGGTTCCAGGCCAGCCCCCTGGGGACCCTGGTAACCCCAGCCCCAAGCCAGGAGGACGACTGTGTCTTTGGGCCACTGCTCGACTTCCCCCTCCTGCAGGGGATCCGAGTCCATGGGGTGGAGGGGCTGGAAAGCTTCTAGGGCTTCCTGGGGTTCCCTTCTTGGGCCTGCCTCTTAAAGGCCTGAGCTAGCTGGAGGAGAGGGGAGGGTCCAGAAGCCCATGACTAAAAACTACCCCAGCCCAGGTTCTCCCCATCTCCAGCCACCAGCATCCCCTCTCCCGCCAGTCTCCATAGGCTGGGCCTCCCAGGCAATCTTCATACTTTAAGGACCAGATCATGCTCCATCCGGCCCCACCCAATGGCCTTTTGTACTTGTTTCCTATAACTTCAGTATTGTAAACTAGCTTTTGGTTTGGAGTTTTTGTTATTGTTTATAGACACTCTTGGGTGTACCTGAGTCTCTGCTATTTATTTTTCAGGGCCCAGCAGTCAGGGGGAAACTTCTCAGAGTTGGTCCTTCCCCCCTCCCTCCCTGCCTTCCCCCCTCCCTTCCTTCCTCCCTTCCCCCTTCCCTTCCTTCCTCCCTTTTCCTTCTTTCCTCCCTTTCCCTTCCTTCCTTCCTTTCCCTTCCTTCCTTCTGCTAGCTCTCAGCATCTAGGCCCTATGCAAATGACTCAGCTCAGTTCACCCTCAGAGGGCTCCATTCTAGTGGTGGGGACTTGAAAACTGATCCTTAGTGCACAGTGGCATGGGTTACATGGGGGGAGTGACAGAGTGAGGTGGGACACGGTGAAGAGACTTTGGAAAAAACTAACCCCTGTTGGGGAAATATAATTTAAGACAAAATCCCCTGCCAATCCAGAAAACCTCTTCACAAGGGTAGAAAAGCAAGAAAACAGTATTATTGAATAAGCATTAAACCAGAATGTGATACACTGGTGATCCACTAAAGAGACTGCAAAGAGAGAAAAATCTTACCCTTTCATGTAGCCAAGTGAATACAATTTATTGTATCCATTTTCTCAAGATAAACAATAACTGGTCCTCAAGCAAGAGGACTTGGCGGCACCCACTCTAAATTTACCTGGTGGCCGGGCGCGGTGGCTCAAGCCTGTAATCCCAGCACTTTGGGAGGCCAAGATGGGCGGATCACGAGGTCAGGAGATCAAGACCATCCTGGCTAACACAGTGAAACCCCGTCTCTACTAAATATACAAAAAACTAGCCGGGCGAGGTGGCGGGCGCCTGTAGTCCCAGCTACTCGGGAGGCTGAGGCAGGAGAATGGCGGGAACCCGGGAGGCGGAGCTTGTAGTGAGCCGAGATCCGGCCACTGCACTCCAGCCTTGGCGACAGAGTGAGACTCCGTCTCAAAAAAAAAAAAAAAAATTTTTTACCTGGTAAGTGGGAAGCCACCTGTGTCTGCTAATTGCCTTTATCCAAAGGAAATATCTATTTCCCCTATCTTTATGACAAGGGGTAGGTTGCAACTAAGAGCTAGGCACCAACTGAAGTTAGGCTCCTACCCTCCCACAGGAACTAAGAGAGAGAGCACTATCCTCCTTAATTATTACATTTCAAAGAGTTGGCTCCCAGGTCCTTGAGAAAAACATTCCGGGGTTGTAAAACTGGCAAGAGGTTTATTTACCTTTTTATTTATTTTTGTTGTTGTTGTTGAGACGGAGTCTTGCTCTGTCGCCCAGGCTGGAGTGCAGTGGCCGGATCTCAGCTCATTGCAAGCTCCGCCTCCCGGGTTTACGCCATTCTCCTGCCTCAGCCTCCCAAGTAGCTGGGACTACAGGCACCCGCCACCTCGCCCGGCTAGTTTTTTGTATTTTTTAGTAGAGATGGGGTTTCACTGTGTTCGCCAGGATGGTCTCGATCTCCTGACCTTGTGATCCGCCCGTCTCGGCCTCCCAAAGTGCTGGGATTACAGGCTTGAGCCACCGCGCCCGGCCTATTTACCTTTTAAGCAGTAGAAAAAGTATTCACAATTACAAGTTTTCTAAAGTAAATGCTTTCAGAAAAGTGAGAAGAAGGAGTCTTTTCCCTTTTTGCTCCAGGGAAAATTAAATTCTCTTTTTCTTCTAATTTGTATTCACCCTTACACCACTGTTTCACAAATAACATCACCGTTAAGATTTACTAAATGCTCACTATATACCATGTGCTCTGCATACAACTGCCTCAGTTAATCCTCTCAACAACCTAAAGGAGAGATATTGTTATTACTACCCCTACAGGGCCCACAAAGGTTAAGTGACTTGCCCACAAGATCACACGTTGAGTAAATGGCTGAGTTAGGATTCCAGACCAGGGCTGTACGATTCCAAACTCAACGACTTTAGTCTCCAGGCTACCAGGCTGCCAGAGACACGGCTGAAATCCAGTATTAGTTCTTACAGGGTCCCATCCTTGACTAAGGGACTGAGGGGTGGGGTGGAGAAGGGATTGGGTTGGGGGTAGAAGGCTACCGCAGGCGCCATGGATCTCCCACAATAACCCCGGCCCGAGGGCCAGGAATGTACTGAGAGATTAAGGACGGGATGCATGCCCTCCAAAAAGTGGCATTTTAGAATTTATACAGCACCCCAGCACACTGCTAAACGTGGGCACACAACCATCACGGCCCGATCACGCGCAGCGGGAACCCGGTCTCTGAGCTCCATCCCGTGTGTCGCGTCATCAGAGTCCCGCCGGCCAATCCATTCTCTCGGTCTTCGTCTGCTCCGGTATTGCAACTGCCTCCATTGATCGAGCCTGGGCCAGCATGGCGGCGCCCATGTAACCCGGCCCGCGCCGCAAAGGGAACGACGGCGGCAGCGCGGGCCCCGCGGGGGTTAGAAGTCATCATGCTCAGGGTCGCGTGGAGGGCGCTGAGTTTGATTCGGACCCAGGCGCCAGTCCTCGGGCTGCCGGGCGGTGGAAGCGCCAGGTTTCCTTTCAACCAGCGGGGCCTGCAGCCTCGAAGTGAGGAGCTGAGAAATGGGACGGCGGGCGTAGGGAAACAGGGTTCGGCGGCGATAGGGAATAAGGAAGGACAGCAGTAGGGGAGATGTACAGCGATCAGGATAAGGGGGAAAGGGCGGTTGTTGCGCAAGAGGTGAAACAAGGTGTGAGAGACAAGGAAGGGGTAGGGAAGAAATGGGGCAGCGGTTAGGCCCCGAAGCCCATAAACCGTGGCGGACTGACAATGCGAGAGGCCCAGAAAAGAATTGAGGGTGGACTATTTAAGGAGATGGGCCTCAGCCTTCTCTTTTCTGCGTAGGTCTCCTCCTCCAGGCCGCGCGCGGATATGTCATCCAGAACCCAGGTAGGAGTTCCTGAGGTGGGACTTGGGGCGGAAGAGAGACCTCCTGGAAGGCTGGGGTGGGTAAGGGGACCGATGTGGCGAGTTAGAGCCACTAGATGGGGTGAGCCAGAGGTCCTGAGCAAAAGACTCCACGTCTACCTTATACAAAGCCCTAGGCCTGCTGCCTGTATAGAGAGAGAGGTGTTAAGGGCGGGAGCAGGTGAATGAGTGAAAATGAGCTTGCCAGAGGGAGTGCATGGCTGGCACCACCCAGGCCTACCTAGAGTATGGCACTTTGTGTCTGCGCTTCTGAGATGCAGGATGTAGTTTCCCATTGCAACTCAGTATGTGTAGTAGTTAAGATCCTTCTTATTAGGTAAATGATATGGGGAGAGGTACTTCCTCTTTCTGATTCTTATTTCTAAAATGAGTGTGAAAGTATCGATTTGCAAGGATTGTTAGGATTCAGCGATAATACATGAAAAGCATCCTTAACACTGTGCTCAATTAAACATATTAGTAGTATATATTAGAATTTATTATCCGGGGCCGGATGCAGTGGCTTACGCCTGTAATCTCAACACTTTGGGAGGCCGAGGTGGGTGGATCACTTGAGTTCAGGAGTTCGAGACCAGCCTGGCCAACATGGTGAAACCTCCTCTCTACTAAAAATACAAAAAAAAAAAAAAAAGCCGGGTGTGGTAGCGCGCGCCTTTAATCCCAGCTACTCAAGAGGCTGAGGCAGGAGAATCGCTTGAACCTGGGAGGTGGAGGTTGCAGTGAGCCGACCATGCCACTGCACTCCACCCTGGGTGACAGAGCGAGACTCCATCTCAAAAAACAAAAAAAGAAAAAGAAATTATTGGCTGGACATGGCCCCAACATTTTGGGAGGCCAAGGCTGGAGGATCACTTGAGGCCAGAAGTTCAAGACCAGCCTGAGCAACATAGCATGACCCAGTCTCTACAAAAAATAAAATAAGTAGAATTTATTGCTATTAATATGTTTGTGATATAATTTTTTTTTCTGCCTCCCTATCAGAACCAACTTGAGCTGTTACAGACAGAAGAGGCCCGTTAATGTTATTTGCATAGCAGGGTCTGACTGGAGAGGATAAGTCCATCCACCCTATGCCTCTTTCTCATCTCCAAGGGATAGCAGGGGTGCACACACCCAGACTGAGGTTCTCCTGTGATCTCTACCTGGTGCTTACATTTCAGGCATCGTACAGCTAGCTGCCTTTCCTCAACCCCCTTAATTCATTCATGCAGTCAGCCAGCAAGTGTTTGCTGAGTGCCTAGTCTAGGCTGAGCCATGGGTCAGACTATGGTGGATTCCAAAGGAGTCAAACTCTGTCCTGTCTGCAGGAGGACCCATCCTAGTGGGGGATCTGAGAACTGTAGAGCCAGATAGGTGTGTGAAAGGTGCAGGCACAGTGTAGGGTCTTGGGAAAAGCCACCTACTCCCAGCATGAAATATCAAAGCAGGTGCCCACAGAGTTTGCAGAGGAGAAGCTGAGCCCAGAGAGATGCAGTGCTTTGCTTGAGACCCTGGATGTCCCTTCTGGAGTTGGAGAGTGGGTGAGAAGAGCCAGGTCTGGGAGGGTGGGCAGCGAGAGTTGACTCTGGGTGTTTTCTATCCCCATATTTATTTGACAGCCCAGCCTGGGCAGAATGATGACCCACCTCCTTCTACACTGCTCAAAGACTACCAGAATGTCCCTGGAATTGAGAAGTAAGCAGGAAGAAACCTAGTAGAGGAGGCAGGGGGCCTGGGAGGATTGTCGGGGAGTGGGAAAGACAGTGGCTTTGAGACTTGGCTTGCTGTAGCTGAAGCTTGATCTAGAAGGAGGCAGGGGCCCAGGTGTGGTGAGGGTGGGTGGTCAGCAAGGCAGATGGCACTCATGAAGCTCGGCTACTTGGGGGTTTTTTTGTACTCTGAACACCCTGTACCACTAGATTCCAAAGAGCTAACATACTTCACAGGTCTTTGTAGAAATCTCTTCTCTTGTTCCTCACAAAAGCTGTATGTCTCCATTTTATAAATTTTCAAGCTGCCCGGTGTCATACAGTTCTAAGGGGCAGAGCTAGAGTTTGAATCCAGGGCTGACTGACACCAAAGCCAGAGGCCCTCTGCTCAGCTCCTGTCCAGTGTGGTGGGAGCTCTTCAGTCCCTCCCACTGTGCAATTTAACTTGAAATGTCTCAAAACAGATCGAACCATGTTGTAGCTAAAATGGAAATCCTCTCCTTGGCCTCCCTATGATGAGACCGAAACAGTCGAGCTGACAGCCCCAATTTCTATAGTTTTCAGCCCAGCAAGCCAGATCCACACTGACTTTTAATTTCTGGGAAATGGCTCCCCACCTCCAGGGAGATTCATTTGCTACAGAAGGAATTTTTCAATCATCTTTGCTTTTCAAACTAAAATGAACCAGCATTGCTTTCCTCTCCCCTTCTCCCCCCTATGTCTGTCTCATTGCTGTGGTTTTTCCATAGGGTTGATGATGTCGTGAAAAGACTCTTGTCTTTGGAAATGGCCAACAAGGTGAGCAGCCTCTGCCAAGCCTCAGCCTCCCGCAGTCTTCTCCTCTGGGACTCCCTCCTACCCTGGTTAGCACCCCCCATCTCATGCTTCTCCAGTCACAGCACTTAGCCCATTGTCATTCTGTGTCCACTTGTCAATATCCCTAGACAGAGCATCTTCAGGGCAGGGACACTTTTGTTCCCCCACCATACCCCTAGCACCTGACAAACAGGTGCTCAGTGAATGAATGAATGAATGAGCAAGCTTTGGGGACATTCATGCAACAAGTCATTTCCCCTGTCAGTGGCTTTGGCTTTGGGCTCACCTGGATATGGACAGCCATGTGGTTGGTCAAGGCCACAGTGAGCAGAGTGAAGTCAGGCCCTGAGCCTTATGGCCCTAGTTGCTATAACTGTAGCCAGGGTCCTTGAGGGGAAGAGGGCTAGTTCTTAGAGGGTGGGAGACTCCACAAATTTTCTTTGTCTCTTCAACAGAAGGAGATGCTAAAAATGAAGCGAGAACAGTTGATGAAGAAGATTGATGCAAACCCGGAGGACACCAGATCCCTGGAGGCTCGAAGTTGGTCGGGGACCCTTGGGGAGTAGGGGGTGTAGGGAAGCCTGCTAGCTGGGACCTGATCTAGGGCTCTTGTCTACAGCACATGCACATGGGCTTGGGAAAGGGAGAGATATGACCTAGGGCAATGAAAACGACCCTGTATCCCGAGCTCTGATGCTGAAGTCAATGCCCAGTTGGACCTTGTACCTCTGTGTGAGCTTGCGTAAGTCACCAACCCTCTCTCGGAGCACCTGCTTCCTCATCTGGAAATGGGGGAATAAGGGAGAGCAGAGCAGAGGTAATGTTACCCACCTCATGGCAGCACTGTGAGAGGCAGCCAGGGGATGTAAACTCACCTTGGAAACTAAAGCTCACGATGTATGATAATAGTAAGACTAGACTGGGCGTGGTGGCTCACGCCTTTAATCCCAGCACTTTGGGAGGCCGAGGCAGGTGGATCACGAGGTCAGGAGATAAAGACCATCCTGGCTAACGGTGAAACCCATTCTCTACTAAAAATACAAAAAGTTGGCTGGGCGTGATGGCTCACGCCTGTAATCCCAGCACTTTGGGAGGCCGAGGCAAGCGGATCATGAGGTCAGGAGATCAATACCATCCTGGCTAATATAGTGAAACCCCGTCTCTACTAAAAATACAAAAAATTAGCCAGGCACTGTGGCAGGTGCCTGTAGTCCCAGCTACTCGGGAGGCTGAAGCAGGAGAATGGCCTGAACCCAGGAGGCGGAGCTTGCAGTGAGCCAAGATCATACCACTGCACTCCAGCCTGGGAGACAGAGCAAGACTCCATCTCAAATAAATAAACAAATATATAAATAAAATTTAAAAACAAAACAAAAAAAATACAAAAAATTAGCCAGGCATGGTGGCGGGCGCCTGTAGTCCCAGCTACCCAGGAGGCTGAAGGAGGAGAATGGCATGAATCCAGGAGGTGGAGCTTGCAGTAAGCCAAGATCTCGCCACCGCACTCCAGCCTGGGCAACAGAGCGAGACTCAGTCTCAAAAATATAAAAAAAATAATAGTAAGACTAACATTTACTGAACCCTCATGTGCCAGACAGACACCATTTTGCATTCCCAAGGGAATAATGTTCCTACTTTGGTTCAGGCTGGAACTGGCAGTAGTCCTCATTAGATGTGAGTGAAAAGCGCCACCATTTCCTTCTCTCGTTGGGTGCAGTTTCTCTTCATTGCCCACTGAGGTAGACTAGTGGACCTGCAGAGGGCCTGCCCACTTTCTTTCCTTTGCTATTGGCTTATATTACAGCCGCCTCCTCCTCTTCCACCCTCCTGCCTTCATTCTTTTCTTCTTCCTGTGCCAGGGATTAAAGTCTGGTGAGTTCATCTTGGATACTAAAACCCCACTGAGAACTGGACTCCAGGGTCCTCCAAAGCCCCTTTTGAGAAGATGAGTTTCAGCCCCCCTTGCCCTGCTGAAGCCCTGGGCTAGGGACCAGCTCAGCTACAAAAGGCCTGCTTATCTTTCCTCATCTGTTTCTTCATTATCACTACTGAAATCCCCAGGTTGGCAGGAACAAATGGCCTGGACTGGCAAGGTGGTTACTGGGGTCCTCTTTAAGCACAGGTTTTGATTCTTTTTTTTTTGTTTTTGAGTCTGGGTCTCGCTCTGTCACTCAGGCTGGAATGCAGTGGCAGGCGTGAGCATGGCTCACTACAGCTCGACTTCTGGGGCTCAGCAATTCTCCTACCTCAGGCTCCCGAGTAGCTGGGACCAAAGACGTGCACGACCATGTCAAGCTAATTTTTATGGTTTTGGTAGAGACAGGATTTCCCCATATTGCCCAGGCTGATCTCAAACTCCTGAGCTCAAGCAGTTCACCCACGTCAGCCTCCCAAAGTGCTGGGATCATAGGCATGACCACCACACCAGGCCCACAGGCGTCACTTCTGCCTTTCCATTAATAGTCAGTTTTCTGAATGCCAGTTGCTTCTAGCATAGTGTCTGCTCTAGAGAACCCCTCAGGAACCAAGGCCCATCTTTCTGTGTTATTCCACTCTACACCTAAGTTGTTGTGATGGAGCCATGTGGTCAGAGTCAGGGTTCCCACTGCACTTTCTGCAGTGCTCCCAGAACTCAATATGTGTACTGGGAAGGGCCTGCTGTCGTGCAGCCTCTTTTGGGGCCAGCTTCTGCTTTTGCTCCCATCTTTGCAGTACAGGGGGTAAATTAAACAAGAGGATGCCTGAACGAAGGATATTCTGGGTTCTTGAGAGACAAGTGGGAGCTGATAATTCTGAAAATTCATTAGTCAAAGCATGGAGATAAAGGTGGCAGCAGGAAGGGGAGAGGCAAGGAGTAGACCCGTGACAGTTTTAGAATCTTATTTGCGCCAAAGTACTTTACTGCATTGGCTTGGACCTCTAGAACAATGTTGAATTGTTAACCATGATAGCATTGTATCCTAGTCTAATTCCTTAATTGAATGGCTAGTCTTACCATTAAGAATGCTATTTGCAGCTGGGCATGGTGGCGCACGCCTGTAATCCCATCACTTTGGGAGGCCGAGGCAGGTGGATCACTTGAATTCAGGAGTTTGAGACCAGCCTGGCCAACATGGTGAAACCCCGTCTCTACCAAAAATACAAAAGTTAGCCATGCCTGGTGGCGGGCGCCTGTAAGCTCAGCTGCTCTGGAGGCTGAGGCAAGAAAATCGCCTAAACCTGAGAGGCAGAGGTTGCAGTGAGTCGAGATCGCACCACTGCACTCCAGCCTGGGCAACACAGCGAGACTCCATCTCAAAAAAAAAAAAATGCTATTTGCTATGATTTTTGGATGATATCTTTATAATATTAAGGGATGTCCCTTCCTTGGATTTTGCTTTTTAAAGGAAAGGTAACATCTAAGATAAGCCTTTGAAATCTTGAAATTCAGAGTGCTTTGGGATTTATAGAGAGCTGTACAGAGCATTGGTGATTGTTATTCCTTGAGTTCTTAAAACGTAACCCAGGCCTGGGCCCTTCCTTCCTCTGTGCCCAACTCTCATCCTCTGTGGTTTGTGGTTTCAGTTGTTGCCTTGTCCGTCAAGATCCGCAGTTATGAAGAACACATGCAGAAACATCGAAAGGTAAACTCTGGGCGTCATTCGCAGTTAAACAGCAGCAGCCTGGGGGAAAGGGGTCTGGAGGGGAAGGGCTCTGGGTCCAGAGAAGGAGGCTTAGAAGCCAGTGGGCTGTAGCACCAGAGTGCCCACCCCTCAGCTCCTGTGGGAAAAATGCTTCCCTCCTGCCTTCAGAGGACTTGGAGCCTTACAAGACCATGCTGAGTGTCACCAGCGGTTAAGAACACAAACTTTAGAGCATGTTCACTATGTCTGGCACATGCTGAGTGCTCAGTAAATATTTGTTGAATGCATGAATGGAGTCAGATTGCCCTGGGTTCAAATCCCAGCTCTGCCACTTGCACTTAACTAGCTGTGTGATGTTAGCCAGGTCTCAGCCTCAGTTCTCTTTTCAGTAAGATGGAGATCATATGAATACCTGCTCACAGGATTGCAAGGATTATGTGAAATAATAGTAATAGGCCGGGCACGGTGGCTCAAGCCTGTAATCCCAGCACTTTGGGAGGCCGAGACGGGCGGATCACGAGGTCAGGAGATCGAGACCATCCTGGCTAACATGGTGAAACCCCGTCTCTACTAAAATATACAAAAAACTAGCCGGGCGAGGTGGCGGGCGCCTGTAGTCCCAGCTACTCGGGAGGCTGAGGCAGGAGAATGGCGTGAACCCGGGAGGCGGAGCTTGCAGTGAGCTGAGATCAGGCCACTGCACTCCAGCCTGGGCGGCAGAGCAAGACTCCGTCTCAAAAAAAAAAAAAAAAAGAAATAATAGTAATAGCCAATGTGATGCATATAAAGTCTTTAGGCCCTGTGCTAAATACTTCACATGCATGCATCTTCTTTGACTCTCATGACTGTCTTTCTTTCCCATCTTAATGAGGAAGAATCTAGTCATGGAGTGATTAAGTTATTCCTCAAGGTAGACCCGCTGGGAGGTGATGTGCTGAGACCTTGAAACAAGGCAGTTTTGCTCCGAGGCTCATATTCTTTTTTTTTTTTTTTTGAGACGGAGCCGCGCTCTGTCACCCAGGCTGGAGTGTAGTGGTGCGATCTCGGCTCACTGCAACCTCCGCCTCCCAGGTTCAAGCAATTCTCCTGTCTCAGCCTCCTGAGTAGCTGGGACTACAGGCACGTGCTACCACGCCCAGCTAATTTTTTGTATTGTTAGTAGAGATAGAGTTTCACCTGTTAGCCAGAATAGTCCCGATCTCCTGACCTCATGATTTGCCCGCCTCAGCCTCCCAAAGTGCTGGGATTACAGGCGTGAGCCACCGTCCCCAGCCATATTCTTAACCATTATACCATATCTCAGCACAGTGTCTGGCACAAAGCTGCTGTAATTAGGCAAATGTTGTTATTTTCTTTTTCTTTTTTTTTCTTTTTTTTTTTGAGACCGAGTCTCACTCTGCTGCCCAGGTTGGAGTGCAGTGGCGCCATCTCGGCTCACTGCAAGCTCCGCCTCCCGGGTTCATGCCATTCTCCTGCCTCAACCTCCTGAGTAGCTGGAAGTACAGGCGCCCACCACCACGCCCGGCTAATTTTTTGTAGAGACGGGGTTTCACCGTGTTAGCCAGGATGGTCTCAATCTCCTGACCTCGTGATCCACCTGCCTCACCTCCCAAAGTGCTGGGATTACAGGCCTGAGCCACCGCGCCCGGCCAATGCTGTTATTTTTAATAAACACATGATTGTGAATACCGACTAGTCCAGCACCATGCCTGGCACTTCAGTGTTCCCTGGAGCCTGCTTCTTAGAGATCACAGTTTCGCTTATTTGGGGTGTGGAACAGCAGTCCTGTTGCAGAAGTCCCTCACAGGGCAGCAGCCAGCTGTGGGTAGGCATTTCCAGGAAGAGCACAAGGCCTTCCCTCCTCTCTACCCCAGCTGACAGTTTGCTAAGCTGTGGAGAGTCTGAGTGGGTGGTGTAGGAGAAAGAGCATGAGATTTGAAGTCAGACCAATAGATAGAGATTCAAGACCCTATCTCAGCACTCACAGTTCTAAGGACCTTTTGTGAATCAGATCACATCTTTAAACCTTTGTTTTCTCATCTGTAAAATGGGAATAACATGACAATACCTCCCTCAGAATTGCATTAATATTTGCATAAGATTACTGAGAAATTTCAATGAAATGATAAAATGACCATTGTTTGTTAATGTAAACAATAGTAACACTTATATAATACTAAAAGTAATGCGAATCTCTTACAGGACAAAGCCCACAAACGCTATCTGCTGATGAGCATTGACCAGAGGAAAAAGATGCTCAAAAACCTCCGTAACACCAACTATGATGTCTTTGAGAAGATCTGCAGGGAGCTGGGGATTGAGTACACCTTCCCTCCTCTGTATTACCGAAGAGCCCACCGCCGATTCGTGACCAAGAAGGCTCTGTGCATTCGGGTATGAGTCAGAATTGCTGCTTTGCTTGGCCCCACTCAGGAACTGGGATGGAGGAAGCAGACGGGAGGGGTCATCTGTTTCTGTTAGAGGCATGGAACTGGTCCCAGGCCCTGGAATGGATCCAGGGAGGTCACAGGAGGCCACCAACCCCATGGAGAAAGGCTGGGGTTACCATCTGGGGGAGATAGTTCCCACCCCACCTGTTCCAAGTCTGAGGTTTTGCACAGGATTACAAGGTCTTTTTCTGCCCCTTTTCACCCCCAGGTTTTCCAGGAGACTCAAAAGCTGAAGAAGGAAAAAAGAGCCTTAAAGGCTGCAGCAGCAGCCCAAAAACAAGCAAAGCAGAGGAGCCCAGACAGCCCTGCCAACACTGGACCAGAGACACTCAAAGACAGCCAATAAATTCTGTTTAATCATTTCTGTCTGTCTTGAAGAATGATAGGAGAGATGATGGGGCTCTTTTTGGCCTGAGGAGGAGGAGGAATTTATTCTTTCATTCAGCTCTGAGATCCCAGAGTTGTCTGAGGCAGAGTCCCTGCCTCACCCACCAGAGGACACACACTCATGACATGCTTCCCACATACTCATACAAACAAGTACCTGTCATCCAGGTGACGTGTGTCAGTGAGGCAAGACAGAGCACTTGACAGCAAAATGGAAGTGTGGCCGGCTGGGTGGGAAGAACTGCTGTAGGAGCTGCCTTCTGGACTGGGTCCTAAAGGATGAGTAGGAAGGAGTTCACTATATAGAGACAGAAAGGGAAGGCCTCCTGGGCAGAAGGAATTGCAAGTACAAAGGCAAGGAAGTCTAGAGAGACATGCTGTATTCAGAGAACGGGGAGAATGAGAAATAAACCTTGAAAGGTAAGCTGAAGCTGAGGTGTGAGAGGCTTTATATGGTAAGCTGAGAAGATTGTACACTGTCCACTAGGGAGTGAGGAGACAGTTCAAGTTTTAAAACTGAAGGAGTGATGGTAGTAACACATCTGTGTTTTAGATAGTTAAGCAACAGCTGTGTGGAAGGTAGGAGGAGAGATCACAGCAGTGTACTGGGGCTGGGGGATATCAGTGTTCACATAGAGAATCTGATCAAAACTACAAGTCCTATCCCCAGGAAACTGTACATATGCAAAGCATTGCTTATAAATTCTAGGGAGTTACGGATAACCTCTTCCCCATAAAGCCCATCCATTTATACCAGTTAAGTGCCAACGCCTTGAAGCCTGAGCATGCTTGGTATGTCTGAAGAACCTAAGGAAGACAGTGTGTCTAAAACAGAACAAAGAGAATAGAAGACATAAGATCAGAGGGGTGGGTAAATACCAGGTGATGTAGAGCTTTCTGGGTGTCTCAGCCTGCCATAACAAAATACTACAGGTGACTTCAGAGGATTTTTATCGAGTTCATTTTTTCACCGTTCTGGAGGCCGGGGATTCTAAGATCAGAGTACCAGCCAATTCAATTTCAGGTGAGGACTCTTCCTAGCTTGGAAAGGCCACCTTCTCAATGTCATCACATGGCCTTTCCCTTGGTCCATGCACTGGGGAGAGCTCACCCTCTTACAAGGCCACTGATCCCGTCATGAGGGCTGTACTCATGACCTTATCTAACCCTAGTTAACTCTGAGAAGCCCCATCTCTAAATACTGTAACATTGGAGTTAGGGCTTCAACATATGAATTTGGTGGGGGACACATTCGGCCCATAACACTGGAGAAGTACGTTGGACCTCACTCTGGGAAGGGAAGCCACTGAGGAAAGCCAAAAGGAGAAAGGTGTGTTAAAGTGCTATCCAAAGAGTAGTTGGAAGATTAGATCTAGGACTCAGTAGAGAGGTCTGGACTGGTTTGCGAGTTGTTGGGTGGTTGAACCCATGGGTATAAGTGAAACTACAGGGATGGAGTGTATAAGAAAAAAGGGCCATGTCTGGATGAGAAGGATGATCCCTGAGAGCTTAGCCTAAGAAGGAGCAGCTGAGCTGGAGGAGAAGGTGAAGTAGGGGTAGAACAGAGCCTGGGTGTCTGCAGAAGCAGAAATGAGAGGCTCAGAACTGAAGATCCACTATTCAGATATCACTTCCAGGAATTGTAGGGAAGGCCTTTAATGGGGCAGGACTTCCAAGTGGCCACGGCTGCTTGGAGGTACTGTGTCAGAGGGCCAGGTGCTAACAGTTAAGGGGGCTAGCCCAGGGAAAGGAAAGAAAAAGGAACACGTTTTAATGGATCAGGCCCTACTACAAAGGCATTTGTGTGTTTCTGTTGGTTTGGCTGGTTGTTTTTTTAGAGACAGGCTCTTGCTCTGTTGCCCCGACTGCAGTACAGTAGCGATCATAGTTCACTAACTTCAAATTCTTGGGCTCAAGCAATCCTCTTGCCTCCTCCTAAGTAGCCAGGACTATAGGTGTAAGCTAACTGCGCTTGGCTAATTTTTTTATTTTTTGTAAAGACAGGGTCTCACTATGTTGCCCAGGTTACCCAAACTCCTGGCCTCAAGCAATCCTTGGCCTCCCAAATGCCTTGGCTTCCCAGAGTGCTGGGATTACAAGTGTGAGCCGCTGCATCTGGTCAAAAGGCATTGTTTTAACTGCTGCCTTAAGCACATTATCTAATATTCACAGCCACCTTTACTCTGCACGCTGGCTAATTATCCTCATTTTAGCCATGAGAGATGAGTCATGAGAGAACTGAGACTCAGAGAGGTTAGGTAACTTGTCCAAATTCCTATAGCTGGGAAGAGAAAGGTCTAGGATTCAAAGCTGGCTCTGTCTTTACTCCAGAGCCTATATCCTGTTCACTATACCACACTGCTTAGGGACCAAGAAAAAGGTCTGAGAAGCAAAGGGAAGAGTCTACACTATAGCAAACTCAAATGCTTTTAGGAGCAAGGCAGGTAACAAAAATGCATGAAGGCCTAACATGAAGTAATGATGCTAAGGTGTTTATTACATTCCTATCCTAGTTGTATTCCCTTTTATTTATTTATTTTTATTTTTTTGAGACAGAGTTTTTGCTCTATCCTCCAGCCTGGAGTGCAGTTGTGCAATCTCGGCTCACTGCAACCTCCCCATCCCACGTTCAAGCAATTCTCCTGCCTCAGCCTCCACAGTAGCTAGGTTTACAGGTGTGCGCCACCACACCTGGCAAAGTAGAGACGGTGTTTCACCATGTTAGCCAGGCTAGTCTTGAACTCCTGACCTCAAGTGATCCGCCGGCCTTGGCCTCCCAAAGTGCAGGGATTACAGGCGTGAGCCACTGCACCTGGCCTGTATTCCCTTTTAAAACAGAGCACAGAGCAGGCAAAATAACCAAATTAAACAAAGCCCTGGGCCGCCAGCAATGGGATACTGTATAATCCTGATGCTGAGATATCAGTTAAGGGAGGACCAAAAAGTATTCATGGTGAAGCAGTTTCAGTGAGGTTCAGGGAGCATAATACCAGTTGCAATGAGGTGGGGAGTGAGGATGTTAAGGAAGTTCCAGTTGTGAGTGTTGTCAACTCGTTCAAAACACTTCACTGGGAAGGAAAGGAAGGAAAACAGACTAGCAGAGATATGAGATGGAAGGAGAATGTTAATATAGGAAGGACTTGAGCTCAGTTATGGCAGGGCAAGACTTTCCAGTGGTGTGGTTATGAGGAAGAGGCAGCCTGCTGATGAGTTCAACTGGACTGGGGGCGAGGAGGTGGCCAGGTGCAAGAGATGGCTCTAAAAAGGTAGTTGGCCGGGTATAGTGGCTGTAACCTGAAATCCCAACAACTAAGGAGTCTGAGGTGGGAGAATCACTTGAGGCCAGGAGTTTTAGGTTGCAGTGAGCCACCAGGGTGCCACTGCATTCCAACCTTGGGCAACAAAGTAAGACCCCCATCTTTTAAAAAAAAAAAAAAGGTAGCTGGAGCCAGTGGAGAGCCTGGAATGCCATGCCAAGGCATCAAGGCTGTGATCTGGCAATCAGTAGGAAACCACTGAAGGGATGTGTCATGTTGAAAGTGATGTTGGCCGGGCATGGTGGCTCATGCCTGTAATCCCAACACTTTGGGAAGCCGAGGCGGGCAGATCACCTGAGGTCAGGAGTTCGAGACTATTCTGGCTAACATGATTAAACCCCATCTCTATTAAAAATACAAAATTAGCGGGCATGGTAGCCTAGCCCATGCCTGTAATCCCAGCTTACTCAGGAGGCTGAGGTAGAAGAATCGCTTGAAACCAGGAGGCGGAGGTTGCAGCGAGCCAAGATCGTGCCATTGCACACCAGCCTGGGCAACAAGAGTGAAACTCTGTCTCAAAAAAAAAAGTGATGTCTTCTGACATTTAGCTTAGCAGCCAGTGCAGGGTAGAAAAGAGAAAAGAACAGTAATACAGAGGAACATAGCAATACAGACAGAAAAACAAATGAAGGGATGAATGAAAAAAAGGTATTGAAGGAAAAAGCATAATATGATGACTGGTAAGGACCCAGGGAAACAGATTTGAAAGCCAAGGCCCAAGTTTCAAGTTTGAGTAGCTGGAGGTTCCGAAAGATAATTAGTAGGTTTTGGAAGTACTGAAACTTACAGAAATGGTTGTTCATCAGAGTACAAATGTACAGCAGATGACAAAAAGTAATCCTGGAGCTCAAGATGAAGGTGAAGAAGGGAGTCACTGCCCTCAAAGAGAAATGGTTGGGCCGGGCGTGATAGCTCACGTCGAGGCGGGCAGATCACTTGAGGTCAGGAGTTCCAGACCAGCCTAGCCAACATGGTGAAACCTCGTGTCTACTGAAAATACAAAAATTAGCCGAGCATGGTGGCGGGCGCCTGTAATCCCAGCTACTAGAGAGGCTGAGGCAGGAGAATCGTTTGAACCCTGAAGGGTGGAAGTTGCAATGAGCCAAGATCGCGCCACTGCACTCCAGCCTGGGCGACAAAAACAAAACTCCGTATCAAAAAAAAAAAAAAAAAAAAAAAAAAAAAAAAAAAAGAAAAAGAAAAAAGGAAAGAAAAGAAAAAAAGAAATGGTTGGAAGGCCTTTGGAACAGCGTCGAGAAGGGAACTTCACAGAGCCCCCAGGGCGCATCCTCTGGGAGCCGGACACACGGGGATGGACAGGACCGGTTTGCTTCATGGAGTATGAAACCAGGAGGGGCTTCACTTCAAGTAAACTTCTGGGAGGCGATGCAAACGACTCAGGACTTCTGATCCTTCCCCCATCTAAAAGAAAAGTCTGTTACCATTTTTACTGAGTGCTTTCGGGGCCTTTCCACGATCTCACTGATTCCTCTCAGCCGCCCTGTGATGTGAATGCCAGCTCCATGTTACGTAAGAGGAAGCCAAGGCTCAAACCCTGCCCGAAGTCACACAGCAAGACATCACGAGCCGTGATTCCAACCCAGGTTCGTCTGACCCGAGTCTGCTCTAATGCCCTTCTGCCTGGGCTTTTCTCTCCTGTAGGCACCTGAGGCCCCGCGCCAGCGGCCGGGGTCCCGAGCTCCGGGCTAGCTGTGTCAACACCACCCCCAGACCATGGCCCGGCCCGGCCTTCGCCCTTCCGAAGGAAAGACCTAGTCTCAGAAGCACAGCTCTCCAGCCACGGCCAACGCCCCCTCGGGAGGGTCCGCCACCCAGACCAATTAGCGCCCGACCTCAGGGCACCTCCCACCAAACCGCCTTCTGATTGGCTAGCTTTTCCCGTTGCGGCGTTGCCCTAGCAACCAGACTATTGGGACGCTGCGGCCTGGCCTCCAGGCCACTGGCTACCTAACCCCGGGGCTCTTCACCAGCCCCGCTCGTTTCCAGCACTATGTCGGTGCGGACGCTACCGCTGCTCTTCTTGAACTTGGGCGGGGAGATGCTTTACATCCTGGACCAACGGCTGCGGGCCCAGAACATCCCGGGAGACAAGGCCCGCAAAGGTGAGAGGCCCCCTGCCCGCTCCGCCAGACCCGCAGCCCGCAGCCCCGCCCTTTCATCATCGCCCTAACACCCACAGCCAGACCCGCACTCCTACACACTTCACTCTTATAACCAGGGACCTTTCTTACAAGCCACATCCATTTGGAGCCCCTCAGGAGTCAAATCCCCCAAAAGCTCTTTTCACAGCAGAAGAGCTTAATACTCCCAATGGACACTAGGGTACCTGATCTACCTAATTTCCCCATTTCTTCAAATGAGAGGTGATTTCCCGGTATCTCTTGTCAATCAGTCCCTTCCAAATGTAGGAGTCCCAGCTGCCCACCATCTGGTATCATACCCGTTGCTAGACCAAGCGTCCTCTTTACTCCCAAGGAACAGGTTCTGATTCTTTTTTTTTTTTTTTTTTTTTTTTTTTGAGACAGAGTCTCGCTCTGTCGCCCAGGCTGGAGCGTGTGGCACGATCTCGGCTCACTGCAACCTCTGCCTCCTGGGTTCCAGCGATTCTCGTGCCTCAGCCTCCCAAGTAGCTGGGATTATAGGCATGCACCACCACGCCCAGCTAATTTTTGTATTTTTAGTAGAGATGGGTTTCACCATGTTTCCCAGGCTGGTCTCGAATTCCTGGACTCAAGTGATCCGCCTGCCTCGGCCTTCCGAAGTACTGAGATTACAGGCATGAGCCACCGCGCCCGGCCCAGGTTCTGATTCTTCATTCCTTTATGGTAGTATCTTACCACATAAGCTGGAGATTGGTCTTACTCATCTCAGAAGTACTTCTAGAAATTTGGGATTCTAAAAAAATATAGAAAAATATGAAAAAAAATAAGAAAGTTATAACTCTCTCAAGTGTTGGAGGGGAATACAATTGTGAAAATAATATGAGAGCTTCAAAAATGCAAAATCTGGCTCCTATGGACACCACACTAATCCCCAGAAAAATGATGACTCAGAACACTCTGCCACTCTGTTCTTTTTCCTCTTTTCCTCCCTTCTCGGCAAACAACTTGCTTATACCAAATTTCCTAGGATTAATTATGAAGGAAATATTATATTTCAAAGTAGAGGAGGAAAAGTTGAAAAGGCAATTGATATGGCCGCCAGTTAAAACATTCTCTCAGGGCTGGGCGCGGTGGCTCACGCCTGTAATCCCAGCACTTTGGGAGGCCGAGGCGGGCGGATCACAAGGTCAGGAAATCGAGACCACGGTGAAACCCCGTCTCTACTAAAAATAGAAAAAATTAGCCGGGCGCAGTGGCGGGCGCCTGTAGTCCCAGCTACTCGGGAGGCTGAGGCAGGAGAATGGCGTGAACTCGGGAGGCGGAGCTTGCAGTGAGCCCAGATTGCGCCACTGCACTCCAGCCTGGGCGACAGAGCGACACTCCGTCTCAAAAAAAAAAAAAAAAAAAAAAAAAAAATCCATTAATCTTTGTATGCTCAATTGATGTTCAACATACATATTCAGATGCTAAACATACATATTCAGATATTAACTATTGTGTGTATGTGACTGAGTCCAAGTCCATGCATGAAAGCTAAAAATAACTCCCTATAACATAACCCCCCATTCATTC